AGTTTCATTAGCGGTTTAACTTGATATTTATAATTTTAAAAGTTTTTTAATTTTAATTTTCGAGATTTTTTTATTTTTATTTTTTAGATTATAGACGATGTAGAATAAATAAATAAATAAAATAAAATAAGTTGGTAAAAAAAGCATATTGTACCGAAAAAACCAAAAAGTAAGAAGGCATGTGGTAATAATGATGGATAATTTTGAGAATGTAATGGAAAGGGCAAAGTTGAAATTTCAGAATTTTAAATTATTATAAGATTAAAATAATTATATTTTTTATTTTTTATTTTTTAAGACAAAATATTTTATTACAGAAATATGTTTTATAACAAATAATTAAACATTATTACAAATAGAAAAAAGTCAATAAATTAAATAACTAATTATTTAATAATTAAAATATATATATATTTAAAAAATAGAGAGTTTTTTTGGGATATTAAAATATTATGATTTGTTATGAGTAGAAAGAGAATTTTTAGAAGCACTCGAAAAGAAGATATAGCGAAAAGACGAAATTACCCTTCCTCGTTGCCTTTTTACCCTTTCTTTACCAAGCGGAAGGGCACAGAAAAGGAGAGCCTTCACCGTGCGCGTGGTTCCTCGTTTCAAGTTCCTGCACATTTTCGTTAACTTTCCGGCGACTTTCCGGCCACTGTAAGCCCCGTAAGGCTTCTTTCTTTACTCTTATGGCCTTCGAGAATCTTAAGGTGAATCGTTGAATGGAGCTACATTTTTATTTTTAGTTTGCTTTTCCTTGATGTGTTTGATTTGATTCAACGTAGTTTGATTGAGGAGTCTGTCGAGATTTAGGGTTTTGAAGTAGTTGGAAATGTTGAATTTTGTTGTTTTTTTTTTTGCTTCTCGTTTATATTCTCTGTGGGGCTAATGAATTAGTTGGGACTTTGGTGCCGGAAAGATTAGTGGTAATGCTAATTTTGGGTTGGTTTATGTATGATTGGTTGGGAACTTGAAATTTTAGCTCAAAAGATGTTAGTTAGAGGCCAATGTGTTTGAGATTTATTTTATTCATAGAGGCATCGTGTCTCATAGGGATCTGATCTATTGATCACCAGATCAGTGAAGATGTATATGCTGTAATTACACTTTTAAAAGAAGTTATTCAGTGTAATTCTATTGAGATGGAGAAAAAAATCTTTGGGAGCTGATTAAGACACCGTGACAATCCAACAATTGTGTGATAGATGATCGAGCTATTATTTCAATCTATACTATAATTTTGTTTTGATCCTTAGATGAAGTAATCTTGGAACTAGGGGGTA